GTAGCAATTGGTGTCTTAAGCAGAAATTTGAAAAATTTCTATCTAGACCGATGATACTATCAAAGGTGTATATGTGATTCCTCCCTAAATGACCAGAAATATGAAGACTTTTGCAAGTAGGACATTAGATTAAATCAATGTGTTTCCTAACTTTCATTAGAACATCCTAAAAATGAATTAAAACCACAGTGTAACAGGTCCAAGTTCTTTTCATGTGGTTTGGCTTAAACCACTGAAGCTTGACTTTGAGCAACCATTAGCCACTCCCCAAATGGGCAACTTGTCTTTATCTCAGGAGCTAAAACTAGTTAAATCTACAATGAATATTCTGATACCACGAAAACACCAAATAGCCAAACTTGAAAAGAAGAGGCTGGAAAGAACAACATTATCACTACATATGCTAAAGCTAATTTTCAAAATAATACCAGGAGGAAGTTAGTATAATGCAGAGTGAGTAAGAAGTCCCTTATCCTATATGGTTACTGCTGTGGTTATTTCCAGCTATGCATAGGCTTTCCCTAACCAGGACTTAAAATCAGGCTGAATTGGTCATCAGGTCATTGCTATTGACCACATCAGCATTCTCTCCCCATAGAGTCTCCCCACCTGATACTTGGCCATCAGGTCCCCAGAAAAATGGTAGAAATGAATTCCCTTAACTAGTCCCCAGCTCAGAATATATATAGTACAACCTAGGTTCTTTAGGAACAGGGTATCCTGAAAGTCAGGAAAAAGGAAATACCACATTTCTTATAGGGCAGGAGGGAAATATGCTTACATCCAGGCATACAGTAAACACAGAAAAGAGTTTCTAGTGAAGGGAGGACAAGATCTGTGGTGATAGAGGCTTGCGGCAGGAATGGGAGTCCACAAAAGGTCCACAGAAAAGAGAGCCGGTAAGGACATGGCCTGAGAGCAAAACTGGGACAGCAATGAAGGAACTGGTACCTTTTTCAAAAACACTGTACACAGAACAGTTTGATTAAAATTGGGTTGTAATTGGTTAAACACTGTTAACTTGGAAATTATCACAATATTTCATTTTTCAATGAATCCTGGTAACAGACTGTTTCCTACACTTTCATAAAAAGATACAGGGAAAGGACTCACAGTGTCAACCTCTTAGTGGGAATTTTAGAGCCTTCAGCATAGACATTTTAATGTTTATTTTTGAGAGGGAGGGAGAAAGAAAGAAAGAGAAAATGTGAGCAGGGGAGGGGCAGAGAGAGAGAGGGGGACAGAGGATCCAAATTGGGCCCTGTGCTGAGAGCAGACAGCCCAGTGCGGGGCTCAAACTCACAAACTGTGAGATCATGACCTGAGCTAAAGTCAGATGCTTAACTTATGGAGCCACCCAGGTGCCCCTTCAGCATAGACATTTTAGGCAGAAGTATTTCCCTGATGCCCCTACAAACCCCACTTATAGAGAGGCAGCTACTTGCTCATGAGTCCAGTCTTGGTACATCTTCGGATTGCAGATTAGGCAAGAGAGTAATTATAGGTCTAGAAAGAACTGGGTCCTGCAGCTAAATTATTTCCTTGTTTTTTGGCAGCACATATTGTACATATAGTCATGTCATCATAACGGAACATTGGTAGATACTCAAGAGCTCAAAGAGAAACTTTGTTCCATTCACGTGAAGAGTGGAATATTTTCCATTTGTTCTTGTCAAAAATTGTTTAAAACAAATCATCACAGCAAAGGAACTAAAAACTGAAATAATGAAATTTGAAAGCAGTTAACACAGCAACATGTAGGTGTTTTTGCTGCATTGTGATGTGTCTGAAAAACTTCACATTCTGCAAAATGTGCTGTAAGTGGCAGGATTCATAGGACAAATAAAAAAATAGGGCTTTCAAAAAGCCTTTGGAACTGTAGCAACAGCTCTAACAAAAATGATCCTTAGTACCTGGAAGGATAATGTGGCCCCTCCAGCAAGTGCTTCTCATGTGGCTGGAGGTTGGCACACCTGGTATTTAAAGTTCTCAAGTGAGGGGTGCCCCAGTCGGTTAAGCGTTCAACTCTTGGTTTCAGCTTGAATTATGATCTCACAGTTCATGGGTTCAAGCCCCACATCGAGCTCTGTGCTGACAGCATGGAGCCTGCTTGAGATTCTCTCTCTCTTTTCTCTCTCAGCCTCTCCCCACTTGTGCTGTTTACCTCTCTCTCAAATAAATAAACTTTAAAAAATTAAAAAAGTAAAGTTCTCAAATGATAAAGGCCATGTGCTCATGTCCCTTTCACTAGAGCAGGACAGGTGGACATGCGAGGCAGAGCCTGTATCTCTCAGGGAAAGGATCCTGTGTGCGAGTGCTCCTAATTAATTTTCTTAGGATAAAGCTGAAAGAGATCCTGCTGCCAGTGTGATACCAAAGCTGAGAATTTTTTTTCTTCTCCTGCTGAAGGTGATGCTTCTATTTCTACTATTTCCTTCCCCTTGTCTGGGGAAAAATGTGTATAAATTATACTTAAATCATTCCTCTATTTACCAATAGCACATGAGTTCTGTAGTACAGACCCGGATGTAGTAATTGAACAGACTGTTGATCAAAATAACTTTTCTTAATTAAAATGTAATTCATGCTTGTAAAGAACTGAGAAAGAGAAGTATAAAAGATGAAATTAATCCATTTATAAGAAATAGCCACTGTTTTAAAAAAAAACAACTATGATCTTTCTTTCTGATCTGTCTGTACATAACTCATAAAATGAGGTTATAATGTGGTTATAATTGTAACGTTTATATTTATATTATGCATATTTTCTACTTTGTTAAGCAGATGTCAAAAATTTGAATCATTTAATAAGACTTCTGCTTTTGGATGATGTAGTTGTTTCACATAGTGGTAATAATTTATGTGTAAAGGTATTGATCTTTAATTCCTTAGATCAATATTAGATTAGGCTAGATTGTGATGAAGGAAATTACTGTGTGTGTTAGTCCACTAGGGCTGCTATAACAAAATACCATAGACTGAGTGGCTTAAAAAACAAACATTTAATTGTCATAGTTCTGGAGCCTGGGAAGTTCAAGTTCAAGGTGCTGGCAGATTTGGTGTCTCCTGAGAGCTTGCTTCCTGGATCACAGACAGCCAGTTTATCACTATGTCCTCACTGGGTAGAAGGGTGGAGGGACCTCTCTGGAGTCTCTTTTATAAGAGCACTAATCCCACTCACGAGGGCTGGATCCCTCATGACTTAATCATTTCCCAAAGGTCTTTCTACCATCACACTTGGGAGTTAAGTTTTAACATATCAGTTTTCAGGGAACATAAGCATTCAGTCTATAGCACTGGGTCCATAGGTATAAATACTACTTTTTAGAAATCTGGCAATAGTAAACTTCTACTTTTTGTGGTTTTTAAACATAAGGACCTTAATACAAGAAGAAAAATAACAAACAGTAAGTTTGGTATTGTGGCCCCTCTTTTTTTTTTAATTAACTAACTTATTTTTAATGTACATCCAAGTTATTTACCATGTAGTGCAACAATGATTTCAGGAGTAGATTCCTTAATGCCCCTTACCCATTTAGCCCATTCCCCTTCCCACAACCCCTCTGGCAACCTTCTGTTCTCTTAAGAGTCTCTTATGTTTTGTCCCCCTCCCTATTTTTATGTTATTTTTGTTTCTCTTCCCTTATGTTCATCTGCTTTGTATCTTATATTCCTCATATTAGTGAAGTTATATGAGATTTATGTTTCTCTGACTAATTTCACTTAGCATAATACCCTCCAGTTCCATCTTCATAGTTGCAAATGGCAAGATTTCATTCTTTCTGATTGTGTGGCCCCTCATTATTATGGGCATATCATTCACTGAAATGTTAGCACATCAATGAGTCTCTGTTGTTCACAAGTGTAAACACCTATGTGGTAAGTATCTCATTCAGCACATTCTGGATTCTTAACAGATCTGGTACATGGAGTCTCTATGTTATGTATACAGGTTAAATCAAGCATTAAAAAAATCAACGTCATGCTCACTCATGATTACTCCTTTAACTTGGTCTAATTCTTCCCTATATATTTGCTTTCCTTATTTTGTTTCTATGTCTATCCATTAGCTGTCTTATCCTTGGCTCACAATTATGTCCAGTGATTACTCCACTTTAAGGGTAACACTAAACCTGTCTCTAGTTCAAGGTACTCCATGGCATCAGGACTTGCTGTAGGACATCTGAGGCAATTTGGGAGAGGGGAGAATGCATTGGGACCTGCCTTTCTAGTTTGAGGTCCTTGTGCATAAATGTGTGCAGGATGGTGAAAAGTACAAGATTTGGAAGTAGAAATTTCTGGATCTGAATGCCAGCTCTGCTTTCTTGGACAAGGAGATGCGTGGTGGTTGGATTGCCCATAGTAGCAGCAGTTGGGTACACTCAAACAATGGATTCTGAGCAGTTTTAAAAGATAATATGTAGCTTAGCATCTGTTTGAGGGGAAATGTAAGGGCAGAATCTGGCTGGGTCACATCTCAAATGAAGTGATAGATGAACTAGTAGTCAATCCACATGGTTCAGTTCCTTTCCATTGCAGTTTCAAGGTAAAGTAACATAATGGGAGCTCTGAAGAAATTGCTTCTTTCAAGTCTTTGGACATTTATGGGGAAAACCAAGTAAGCCTAATAAAATAGAGGTAGGTAAGTGTTCCTGGGTGGCCCAGGCAGGCATCCTCCTCTTGATTTCGGCTCAGGTCATAGTCTCACAGTTGGTGAGTTCAAGCCCCACTTGGGGCCCTGTGCTGACAGTGCAGAGCCTGCTTGGGATTCTGTCTCTCTTCTCTCTCTGCCCCTCCTCTGTTTGTGTGTGAGAGTTCTCTCTCTGTCTCTCTCTCCCCCTCTCTCTCAAAGTAAATAAAAATTAAAAAAAATAGAGGTAGACATATGTACTAAGATTTCCAGCAACCGTAAACAAGACAGGCTACTTCCAGGTCTTTGCTTTATTTATTTATTTTTAAATTTAACACTAATTAAAAAGCCAAATCTCTTCTCTTTTCAGCCAGCATATGTCCCAAGGAAGCTAATCCCAATAACAGTCATCAAACAAGGTAATTTGTATGAGTCTGCTCTGGATATGTGTTTAGAACTATTTCTGTAAATTTTAATTCCAATATAGTTAACAGTTTAGAACTAGTTTTAATATACTTTTTGCACTGAGATAACTAAACATAGCACATTAAAATCTTTTTTTCTGACTATTTTAAAGCGAAAGTGTGAAAAAATCAGTATGGTCTAACAAATTAGAACTTAATAATTTTGGCTCTCATACCAATAGGTCAAGTCTTGGCAAGTCTCACTGGTTGGACAACTAGGGACAAAGCAACCATAACAAGTATTAACTTTACAAAAAAAAAAAAAAACAGTTGAATATGTGTGGCTTTGTTCAGGGTTAAGTTAGCGTACATGAAGAAAATCATTAATAGGATATTTGGATTAGTGACACGAAAACTATGATTTAGTGCTCCCTTTAGGAAAGTAAAGGCATCCAGTTTTTGAGAATTATAATGTCTTATTCCATTTCACTATCCAATTGTTTTTGTTTTGACTTTCAGTTTTTCAAATTATTAAAATGACTCCAGTATTTCCAGAAAGTTTCTTGGTAGAAGAGATCAGACATTTACAATAATTAATCATTTTAAGAAAACACATGTCTTAAGTGTAATCTCAAACAGTGTCAGTATTGGAATAATCTAGATTCTTTGAGAACATACATTTTCACTTTTTAAAATTTACTGTATTAATTTCCTGTTTTGTGCTATTTTTTTTTAACTTGGGTAGGTTGCAGGGGAGTAGAGATAAGGAAATTTCATCTCATTAGAATGGAACACTTGATGATAGAGTAACAGCCTTTCATTACCTAAAGGCGTAGGTGTTAAGGTGAGATGTGCCTTCCAGTCCTTTCGTTGGCTGTGTACCAGTGCAAAGAGTTACTTTTTACTAATTTAAAAGTTATATCCAGGCTTACCCCATGCAGATTGCGTCATATCACAGTACTGCTATTTACTGCTTACTGTTTTTTTCCCATCACACTGTTAACTTTTTTCATTTCAACAGTGATTCAGAATGTTACTCACAGGGCTTCAACTAAATCCCCTGATAAGACTCCCTTTGGAGGAACAATATTAGGTGAGTATATCTTGGTATCTATACCTGCATTAAGTCAGGCTATTTTTGATAATAGGACCATTATGGAATTATACACTGTTAGACCTGTTAGCAGGTCTATTAAATTGAAATTGGTTCATTTTCTTTGAATATTTAGCATCCTTCTTTGTGTCCATTCTAGGCTAGGAGCCAAGAGCTGCTACCTCTATTACAGTATGTTAGAGAAGCATTTCTAGCCCATGCCTGGTGGGAATGGTGGCACCCATCCTACCTGCCTCATAGTGTTGTTGCAGTTGGGAGGGAGTCCTTGTTGTATTGAGCTGCTTTTTAAAAAGTATTATTAATAATAGGGAGCCTGGGTGGCTCAGTCAATTAAGCGTCTCACTCTTGATTTCAGCTCGGGTCATATCTCAGTTTGTGAAATGGAGTCCCACATCTGACACTGCGCTGACAGTGCAGCACCTGCTTGGGATTCTCTCTCTTCCTCTCTTTCAAAATAAATAAATTAAACTTAAAAAATTATTATTAATAATGGTGTTCTTTTTCACTACACATCTTAAACAACCATTTTATGATTTTTGAGTCTGTGGATTAAAAGCCAGGATTTTGTAGTTTAGTTCTGAATATTTAAAAAAAAAACTATTTAAAAGGTACTGTCATATTTTTTCCTGACATTTTAGGTTTGGTTTAAAAGTGATTAAGCCATATAATTGCTAAATTTTGTAGTTTTTGTTAAATCATGAGCTTTACTTTATGTCATGATGCATTTTCTTCCTCTTACTTTATTTCCTTGCAGTCCACCTTATTATTCCAGGTCTCAATGAAACCACTGTAAAGCTTCCTACATCCATAATGCTTGAGATTTCAGATGCAATCAAGACACAGTTAGGTAAGCAGCAGTGTTGTATATGTGAACTTTGCAGTGACTGACTACTAGTACTGATAATCCTAGGATATCCAAGGAATACAGCAAATGAGCTATATGGGCATCTTAAAGTAAAAAGTAAGGAAAAGGCATGTGCACCATTGATGGGATTGTTAAATGGTGCAGCTGCTGTGGAACATAGTATGACCATTTCTCAAAAAGTTAAGCATAGAATTACCACATGATCCAGCAATTCCACTTCTGGGTATATAACCAAAAGAATTAGAAAAAAGGTTATCAAAGAGGTATTTGGACATCTACGTTCATACCAGCATGATTCACAATAGCTAAAACATGGAAGCAACCCATGTGTCCATCAACAAATGAATGGATATGCACGGTGATGTTTATGGCACCATTATCTACAATAGCCAAGTTATGGAAATAGTCCAAGTGTCCATCGACTGATGAATGGATAAAGAAGGTGTAATGATACAGAGTTTCACTGTTTAAGATGGGAAAAGTTCTGGAGATGGATGGTGGTGATGGTTGCACACATTATGAATGTATTTGATATTACTGAAGTATACACTTAAAATGGTTGATATACTGCATCTTATGTATATTTTACCACGAGAAAAAAATTTGGAAAAAATATAGTAAGGGACAGAGAGATTAGAGTGTTGCAAGTATTTATGCAAATAACTTTTGTAGGTAAAAAGTTATTATAAATTATATGAAATGTATTTATATTTAAAGTGAACATTTATCAAATTATCCAAAATACATTGATTTAGGTAAAATTTTCAAATAGAGTGATTGTTAAAAAATTATTGTACTATACTGTCAAGGGGCCATGAGATGTTTTCAGTGAGAACTGCTGTAGAGGTCAGGTATGTTATAATTATTATTTACTTGAGATTGATACTGCCTCCTACTTCTATAAATAACTTGATATAATTTCAGTGTTTTAAAAACATAAAAAATAACACTTTGGAGGGGGAAAAAACAGCAAAACCCTTTAAAAGGAGCCCAGGAAATAATTGTGGTGTTCAATGGGTAAATTAGTTGCTGCATTTTAGAATCAAATTAGTCAGGATTGTCTCTATGGCACAGTATCTCAAATGTGATGGAGCATCAGAAGTCCCGAAGGACCTGTGAACACAGACTGCTGGACCCACCGTCAGAGTTACTGTTTCAGTAGCTAGGGGGTAGGACCCAAGAGTTTGCCTTTCTAACTAGCACCCAGGAGATACTAAAGCCACTTGTCCAGGAACCACACTTTGAGAACCATCCCTCTACGGTCTCCAGAGAATGACTTGGGCTATTGGTAAATATGGAAGGAGAGGGCATGATGTAGTAGAAATTGAACAAAACTAAAAAAGGTGAATATTTTCTCTGAATTACGCACTAGCAAAGAACTTTAGCACTTACTATATAGGTAAGTTACACAGGTCCTGCCCACGACAGGACCTCAGACTTAATTTCTCCTGACCTTTGCTTGTTTGATGCTAGGCAATCAGATTGGAACAGTTTTAAAAAGTTAACTCTTAAATTCTCCTGTTAATTTGAGAATTGACTGAAAGAAGGAAAAACAAAGCCTTAAGTAGTAGAGCACTTAACTGTTAGACTGTACAGTCCCCCAAATTTTAGAAAAGCTTTCAGAATTTACATATCACCATTTTATTAAGATGTCAAAATATTTTCCAATCTTTGTGATTTTGTGCATCCTTATATTTTTATTATGACATATTCATACCTTTTGGTCCTAGAGTGAGTTACCTCCAAGAATGTAGACAAGTGACTTGAGACAAAATTTCCTTAATTTGTTCCTCAGACTCGATCACTTCTCTTTTAGCTGTCAAACTCTGTGACTAAACTCTGCATCATCTAAATGCCATGTTAAGAGCCAGGAACCTTCCAAATTGAATTTCCGCAGTGAACCTATGTTTGGAATCCAGTGTTCAGTACTCTTAAACTTACCTGTTCTCGGCCCAGAGCCTATATGCCTTGTCCTGGTCCTGTTTGGGAGTCTTGTTGGGGAGGAGTTAAAAAAGGAACTGGCCAATCTCTTACTGAAGTGGTTCCTAATCCATCCAGCAAAACCACAAAAAACAGAATTTGTGAAGGAGGCTGAAAATGAGAAGTTTTTTCCCCAGAACACTGCTGTCCATTTTGAAGTGGATGATGTTTTTTGTTCCTTAGTCTTGTGTGATCTTTCCTAAATTTTTTGGTTTTTGTGAAGTTCTACATGCTGCCTTAATACCAATTCAGTCTTTTTATTTTCCTTAGAGAATTACACAGTGGATATGTTTTGTTTTGTTTCTGCTTTTATTTTTCTGATATGATCCACTAAATCTTCAGGATTAAGTGTGATTTAAATAAAGAAAAATTGTATGCAAACAGTAAATATAATTTTTGACTTTTCTGGCAAAACACCAGCTTAAATTTAATACATGACAAATTTCTTGTGCATTGAAAAGTTTGGCAGCTAGTATATTTGAAAATGTCCAGTAAATCCATCAAATGTACCGTCTTAAAAGACTACATTTAAAAATTACATTTTAAGGTTACCGTATTTAATGAGAAGAGATATTGCTTAAATAGTGCTTTATACTACCAAGGGAGAAATAAAGTTTCCTGAAGTTATTTAACACTGCAGTTCAGAAATGTACTATTTTCTTGAGGGGGTAAATCCTAAAAATAATATCCTCATTCCAACAGGGCCCATCATGGGACATCAAGAAATTAATAGCTTTTGTTCTAAGAACACATGGTGTGAGTAATGAACGAAATAAACAAGAAAGCTAGTATTACACACACCCCTCCCAGGGGCATATAAAGGGTTTGCCAAAGCCAAGACTTAGCCTGCCAAAAATGAAAGGAAACAACTGTGTTGAAAAAAGGTAGAGAAGAATCAGAGAGGAAAGGGAATTTCCTGGGTTTCAGGCCATGTTCTGGTGGCATTTTACTGTGTTCTTGCCAAGACTATGGTTGTACATAATGTAGGTGAATGCCCATGGCTTGATAAGAGGCATAAAGGCTCTTTCATTCAAAAATCTCTATCTACCAATTTCTCTGATGTCTGAAATGGCATTTTTAGAAACACTCTATGCCTTTATAAGGTATTAGTGATGTGCGAAGAATACAAATGTCTCTTGGGAGGGTAGTTTACCTTTTTTTCCCCCCACTAACAGCCTAATTTTAGGTTAATGTGATTGCCAGCTGAGGGCATGTTTTTAATACAGGGAGCTAAAGCAAGGTAATCCAGAGCATTGTTTGAAATAAGATCTATAGGTTAAAATAGATAAATAGTCCTAGTCAGCCAAGGAAACCACCATAGGCTATTACCCAGGAAGGAGAGGATTCGCAAAGGTGTCTTGAAGGAGAAGAGGACACTGAAAAGAAAAAAAAAAAAAAAAAA